TTTTATCTTGATTATATTGATGGTTGTAAAGTTATACTTTAAATAGCTTTTTTTCTAATATCAATATTAGCTTATTGTTTTTATTAGATTATAGAATCATATGATGCTTTTATTATAAAGATATCAGATAAGTATATTCTAACAAGAGTATATTTGTTATATATACATTGTCTATTTAAGAACTTTACTATATTTATTACTAGCTATAGTTATTCATCACATACTGTATCTGAGATCCAGCTATAGATCTCTCATTTAAATCCTCTGATCTGAGTTTCTTATACCAATCTATCTAACTTTATCCAGAACATTCAATACATTAATCAGTCCAAGTTCTGAAATTATTATGTCTATCTATAGAAATATTAATATAATTAACTGATTTATCCTCAAGTACATTATCTGCTAGAGCAGTTCGGTATCTACTATTACTATATTATTTAATTTTTTTTGAATAGATATTGTCAGATTGGTTCTATATTTTTATGAGCAGACTATATCATCAATTTTTTCACAGATAAGTTAGCCAGATAGGTTTTAAACCTTTATGAGCAAACTATATTACCTAACTCTCTAGCCTTTATAAAGTTCACCCAAATTTTGATACTCTTTTTTTAAGACAATTTAGTACCTTTCCTTTTAATACCCTAGCTAGTCTCCTCAGACTATCAATCTAGATGGCCCAGAAGTGATACTAGTTCTTTTTTCTAATTGACTTGGTAACCTAGTTGATAGAGTAACTTGCTAATACTCTTGCTTCATCTAGTTTAACAGCCTCAGGTAGAGCCTATTCTAATAGCTATTAACAAAAGATTTTGTTAAACAGACTTACCTAGTATCATTTATCAGATTAATTCAATTCTAAAAACTTATTATAAGTTTATATTACCTTACTAGTTTTATATCTCTTTGTGCAATTCATACATTATGCAAATATCTAGAATTTTTCTTAGATTAGCCTGATAGTATACCGTATATTGCCAAAAATAAGCTACCTTTTTTTTGGGAAAAATCACATCAAAATATTGAAGGTAGCTTATTATCGGGTGAAAGCAATTTTTCATCATTTACGAAAATTTTACTAAGTAAATCGACTTACCTTATTAAGCGAAAGTTGTTCAGGAGATCAAAATGCATCTATTCTAAAAGTTTCATATAATTCAGAGAACAATTTACTAATTGACTTTTGATTTTTACGCTCAATGAATATAAATTTTAACGAAATTTGTAAAGTTTCGTTGAAACGTAATATGCAAAAGTTAATTAATAAAATCTTCTCCGATTTATATGAAATTTTCAGGATATATGCATTTTGATCTCCTGAATAACTTTCACTTAATAAGGTAAGTCGATTTACTTAGTAAAATTTCGACTTTACTATGTAGCTACGATTATCGTTTATGGGGTAGCTTCTTTCAGGTAAAAGATATTTTTTACTTTTCCTGTCTAAAAGAGAAAAGTAGCTTATTTTTGGCATAGCTTATTTTTGGCAATATATGGTAATAGATATTCTTTCTAATAAAGTATGTCCAGATGTAATAGGATCTGCTTCTTAATATATAAGAGAGTTGCTATTATATAAAAAAATATAATTTTTTACTATCAATAAGAATTAAACTCTGAATATACTACTTGGAGGTGGCAATTCAACCATTTCACTAAGTCATCACACTCTGTTATTTTTAGTTTTAATCATAATAATTAGTTTAAAACTCATAAAAATATAAGTAAAATAAATTATATTAAAATAATTTATACTAATTAACAAAACAACTTTTTCTAATGATTACTTGTACCAACCTAATACTAAAAGCAAGTTAAAAATTCAAGCCTAGAAGTCGACAACAACTTAAAGTTTTCTTAATATGAACTGTTGTCAATGATGTCTTTAAATATGATATACTGAAGAGCAGGTATTTTAAATGATTTGCAAAGAGGTCAAACTTTTTTTTTTTTGTCTTCTAAGATAGACTCCCTTTTGTATTTAGCATTCAAACCAAAGGAGTCTTTAGAAACAGCAAATAGAAAGAAAACTAAAGTTTATTTGAAAATAGAAGACTTTAAAAAACTCTTGGAACCTGTGCCTTTTCTTTCTCTCCTATAACTAATTGTAGTTCAATTTACAGTCGACTCTGGATATACCAGACTGCATATTCTGGACATTTTTGTTTAGTATAGAGTAAGTTCATTATATAATATTACTCTTTCTATACTGAATGTTTAGTATATATAGCTAACCAATAGAAATACATTCATATGACCAAGCTTGTAAAAAATTTATTTAATAAAAATTATACAATTTAACTGCACAACACAGATTACTAAACCAAGACAAAGTATATACATACGTATAAAATATATAGATGTATAAAATAAAAAAAAAGCTAAAGTTATTTTAAACAAATTTTTTTTTTTACTGAAAATAGTGATGTAGATCAGCTTATTTGAGATTATTTATAACATTTAGTTAAACCCACTTGTTAAGTTTTCTTAAAATTTTAACTTCTTCTTTGACCTCACCAAATTCTGGTCCTTGTTTATATAAGAACCTTAGTATTTGTTCACAAAATATTCTGCATTTGTATAAGTAACTTTTTCTTGTTCAATAAGAGATTCTTCTGCTTCTTCTTTCTCATTCTCTTCGCCTTCATCCTCAATAATTTATAAGATTTCTTCTTCGGTAAGCCCACTTTTAACTTCTTCATCCTCAGCATGAATGTTTTCATATGCAGTAAGAAAGTCAAGAAAGTCATTTGTTAGTAATTTGGTAATTAATTCTGAAAAGTTTAATTCATCATCCATGTTGTTAAAATTTTAATTTTTACATTTCTAAGATACATCAGCAAAATTTACAAGAGGATTAGTATCAATTTTAAATGGTTATTAAATAAGTATCGATTTAAATCCCCCTTACCGATTACTATCGATTTAGATAGAAATCGATAATAATCCTGCCAATTACTATCGATTTAGATAGAAATCGATAGTAATACTGCCGATTACTATCAATTTAGATAGAAATTAATAAAAATCTCAATTCGTATCAATTAATATATGCATAACGATTTTAATCGAATTTTTCTAATTGTACCAATATCGATATCATCATACTGTACACTTATTATTCATATTTAGTAAATCAATATTAATAAATCAAATATTTACTTTTTAATATACAAAAAAAAATGCTTATTGCAATAGAATTTATTAATTGAAAAATAAAAAATACAAATCGCTGAATTATATGCAATGAATATAACTAATTAAAACTAAATTAATCAATATAATTTGTGAAACCAAACAAATCATCCAGATCTTTTTGTGAAAAAAGAGCCATAGAACCACTACTCTGAGAAGGAGTATTAGATCCAAATTCAGGAGTATTCGCCCATGATTCAGAATGGGGCCAACCCCCTGCTTCATTATCTATAATCATTTTCGATGAATTATAAGAAGGACCATCGTTATTAAAATCATTTTATATTTATTAAAACGTAGTATTGTACAATAATCTTATAATAAAGAAATAAAAAAAAACGATAAATACATACAAGATAGCTTTCAATATGACATTTTATATTTTTCTCGTTGCATGTAACACTTTTAGATTTGGGATGCAAGAATACGTCACACACCATAAGTGCAAAAGTGCAATGTTTATTCGTTAGAGTAGGAACTGCAACTTCTGAAAATGCAATCCTTGCTATTACAGAGATCCAGAACAACCATCATTATTTTTTTCGAATAATAAATGATGGCATTCGCTTATTTTTGGATTTTCCTTCCACTTTACAATTACATGGGCCTTGGCGTTACTTTTCAAGAGAGGTAACCATTTCGATCCAAAAACTTTCCACATTGTCGACCTAACGCTTTGCACCACTGAACCTCTATAATTCTTCATTTTTTGGAGAAGCTATTAAAATAAATTTATAAGTTAAAATATTTAAAGCAGTAATACTATAATGCAAATATTGCGAATATAAATAATATTATAAACAATTAATAACAATAACAAATTATCACTGTTTTCGAAATGGTTGAAAATGGAAATAATATATTTTTTTTGGCGTACACTCATATACTTATACACTCGATTACCTAAGCACGTTGATTAAAGATTGATGTCAATTTTATATAATTGTTCACCAAACAATAGTCATGCGGATTTGTACTTCATAGACCAGATTGGCTAGCGCAAATAAATTGCTCGGGTAACTAATTTACAATATATACCAATACCAATACTTAAAAAAAAAAACATTTCAACAAAGGATTAATATTTAACAAAGTATTAATGTTCAATGTGCAATCAAATTTTGACTCCCGGAAAACTTTGCCTAGACAAGTTTATTCGTTTTTTAGAATCTAAAAGGTCTGGATTTAGTACATAAGCTTGTAAGGGTTTTACAGTATGCTTGTTTAATCGATATATGTAGATTTAGGTCGTGTTCGTCTTCTGATTCAATACAGAACCGAGAAAACTCTATTATAGGTCCCCGCCATAACAATATTCGAATATAAAAGGTCTGGATTTAATTTATGAGCTTTTATAGTTTTACAACATTTGTCTAATTTTCGATGTTCACAGATTTGTGTTTGCCTTTCGATTCAGTACAAGACCGGAAAAACTCTATTATAGGCCCCTGCCACAACAATATTCGAATATAAAAGGTCTGGATTTTATTTATAAGCTTGTAAGGTACTGTACAGCATGGTCTAAAATACCCAGGGTACTTTACAATTTAAACTGTACAGCGTGGTCTACAATACCCAGAGTACTTTACAATTTAAGCTGTATATATGGGTATTATAGTCTATGGTCAGCATAAGGGGTATAAGTTGCACTATATATGCTTCAGTAATATTTTATTTACTAAGTCAATAATCCATCTTATTCCGAATAGAAAATCCACGAATGTAAAATATGAGCAAGGTCAGGTCAAAAATTCAAAAGGTTCTAGCAGAGATAACATACATAAAAATCGTGTTAGATAATTATGAAACAGAGTGGCAATCAGCATCTTAACCCACTTTAGCATGGGTATCTAAAAAGATAAAGGATTACAAATTAGAAAATGAATTATTTGCAGTATACGAACAATACTTGTTTGAATTAGGCTTTGACCTTCTTAATAAATCCAAAGAAACAACCAAATCTGCCACCAAAGAAATAACTAGATCTATCGATGTTCCACCCACTTGTTACGGATCTGATGGTGGAATTCTTTCACCTAATAATGCGTATCTCAATTCAGAATTAATTGTTGTTGGGGCCGCATACACAGCTAACCGTAAACTCAAACAGAGGTATTCTGAAACCGAGAGATGGTATATTCGAAATTTTTAAGTAGTAAATTGTCATTTCAATCCTTCAACCCGGCATGCAAAATATATGTCAAATGTTATACCGGCTTTTTCCCTTCCTGATAGCCCTCAGCGCACAAATTCTTTACAATCTAAAAAACTTAACCCCTTGAAAAGGCAAACAAACTACGAAAAAAGGTATTTTTAGAACCTAGTCATTCTGTTCTAGATTGGACAAGACTGAAAAACAGCGATGTAGATTTGAGGATAATCTATTATTTAGGCGAAACCAATTTGATTCTGTGTTACATTATTTCCATTCTCAAGAATTAAAACCTTTATTTCATATCTTAGGAAGTAAAGACCTTATTGTAGTTACAATTTAGAGGATAATTCTTGCTTATCATTTTTAAAATCCATAACATTCAAGAAATCAAACTTTATACTAAGCTATTTGTTAGTTAAAAGATCTGAACTAAATATTTATTCTTATAAGCCAATATTTAGTTTATAATAAAAATAACAATAATAATAATAATCATAATATCGAAGATAAGTATAATAATAATAATAATAATAATAATAGTCATAATATCGAAGATAAGTATAATAATAATAATAATAACTGTTCACTTTCAAATACAGTAAGATTTAAATTAATTAAAATTTTAATTTTTATATGTAAATTTAAAGTGATAGTACTTACACAATTAAAAAAGTGTTTTTTCGAGTTGAAATTCATGAAACATATCTACTTTGTAATTATCATGAACGGCAATCTGTTTTAAGACCATTGTAGTATATTAATACCTGATCCTTTTTTTAAATAAATAAAAAATCCAAGTACTATTGTCACTGAATACAGTATCTTTTAAATGTAAGTTCCCAGATTAAGATTTTGGACATAGTAAAGTAGTACAGTACTAAAACACAAATTAGGAGAAATGCGTAGAAATCATGATAGTACGTACGGTTTGTAAAAAAAAACAAAAATTTGTCAAGCCAAAGTTACTTTCCTACTACCTGTCTATGCTTTAACAGAAAAAGAACAATACTGACGCTTGTTCTAATCTTAACTATAAGAAGGTTACTCATAAAAACTGAATTTTACAAGTCTATGTTAACTGTACATACGATCAAAATTTAGTATAACTTTCGTATGTCCGCCCGAATCCATACTGCCATACAGTACTACTTTACTAAATACCTAAATTTTGATATTGGTTTCTATCCAAATCCAAAATTATTATAAAATTAATTTTTTATGTCGAAATCCAATAAGACCTGGGTATTAGATATTATACAGTAGCAAAAGGTATAAGAATAAAAAAAAATTTACTGAATGCGAGAAATCTTGAGGCACCTTCATAGTGAGTCGTAAAAGTTCTTTATTGATAATAAAGCTTTAGGTGTAAAGAGTAATTTGTGATGTTCAACAACATCATTTTGTGAAATGTAGGTTTTACTAAGCATTGATATTTAAAATACATGTGATTGCTATCCAATTACATAAATTCAAACATCTGTAGGCAAAAATTTTGATTTAGTTGAATTCATTATATCCTATTAATAATCCCTAGTCTCTTGATTGCTATCATTATTATTTTGTTCTGTATGTATATAAGCGAAAATTAATATCTTACGGTCCAGAATATTACTAATATAATACCCCGATCACTATATCAAGATCACAGGAGTATTAATTAATAATACCCTGACCGTATATGAATAAGCAGAAATGAAGTTTCCGCTAATTCCCAACGGATCAGGATATTCTTATTACTTATCATACTAAATTTATAATTCTTTCTCATAATGATAAACAATGAACCGTTTTATTTCATCCGAATTATTATCAAAAATAAAATCTAGAAAAAAAGAAACAAAATTAGATTTTAATAAGTGCATAAAATCTCATTAAGTATATTACTTCAAACCGTAATTATTGTTGTGAATCAAATTAAAATAAAATTTGAAATTTCCTTTTAAGCCTATAAAATCCACTTATACCCTTGTCACATTCTAACCCTAAAT